ATATATATATATATATAGTATAATGCCAAAATTAATGGAGCTGTGCATCCAAAAATTAACTGTCTTGTCTAACCACATTGAACAAAAATATCAATGCAACACTTGTGTTAATAATTGTATACATATTTGTTTACAACTTATTGTGCACATTGACAAAGTATTAGATCCTTGAGGAAATGGGAGAAAAAACAAGTGTTATGTTTATTTATTTATTTATTTTTTTGTTCAGTGTATTATTCTACAAATCAACTTTTGCAACTTAAAGCAGAAAACAAAATAACATTTCATGATTTTTTTTTTAATGAAAAAAAGTATGTTTGAGTAACAAAACATTTGACCAGTGAATCAGTTCTGAGTTGTAGCTCTGTTCAAAAAATATTTTTAGTTCATGTAAAAAAAAAGAAAGAAAAGAATTATGATCATCCTAATTTCAGTACCACTGATGGATTTGCGTTGTCTTTTTCTGCTACATGTCGAGTCACGGGTGCGCCCTGCAGCTTCTTTTGTCATTTTCATTTGGAGAGAATGCAATGGTGCTGAGATCGCTAATCAGTGGAGCCACATATAGTTGTTAATGGCTCCAGCCATCATTGCAACCCTCCAGTTTAACCTTCATGAAGCCATGCTTTCATGGCTCAACTCAATAAACAAATGAAGTTGAAACATCAGATAATATTTGCTTCTAGTTTTATTCTAGTCTCAAAAGAATCCCTGTTTAGTAAATAATTAAGCACTGAAGAGAAATGCTGCAGCTCTGAGGGACAGAGTTCATCTCACAGGAATGTTGCCCACAAGGAAACTAATACCACACTGGTCAGAACCGAGGAGAATGAAATCTCCTTTGATGCTGAAAACAGCTCAGCTTAATTGCTGGCTCAGCTAGCATAATTTGAGCAGTGCTTTTAAATTTGTGTGTCCTCGGTCTTCGGCCTCCACAGTTGTGGTTCGGACTCGAAAGCAATTAAACTAATCACCCTGGTTACAGATACAGGTGTGCAGACCTCACACACACACAAAATGCAACTGCTCGCTTTCTCCTTGAAGTAATGGATGAGTTGGATGAGTCTTTGCCAGAGAACCGGGGTTCAAATTCCACCTAGGGTCAAACAGTGAACAAGTTGGAGAAATAATGTGCTTAATAAGAAACAACTCTACATCCTAAAATGGTAACAGTATTAATTACATTAGTATTTAGTCTTCCATCATTTATCACTACCCAGATTACTTCATCCTATTACAATTGTTTATGACCTTCAGGGGTTGACGCTACGTTTTCTGTTTCTTGTGGAACTTTTCTTGTGAAGGCTCGTTGGTTTCAAATGGTTTAAGGCCTTAATTCAAGATTGTTTTTAATATAATACTAATATTTTATAAATGAAAGCAATAGCTAAATGTTTAACGTTTAATAATTTGACTTACTAAGCTCGTGGGCACGAAGGGGGCTGGTGTTACACGTGGTCTGCGGTTGTGAGGCTGGTTGGATGTACTGCCAGATTCTCCGAACATGGACATTCCTGCAGTCAGCATGCCAATTACTGCTTTCTCTAAACTTGCAACGTCTGTGGAATTGTGCTGTGTGGTAAAACTGCACATTTTAAAGCAGCCTTTTATTGTGGTCAGCCTAAGGCATACCTGTGCAATAATCATGCTGTCTAAACAGCATCTTGATATGCCACACCTGCGAGGTGGATGGATGATCTCAGCAAATGAGAAGTGCTCACTATCACAGATTTACACACATTTGTGAACATTATTTGAGAGAGAAAGGTCTTTAGTGTACAAAGAAAAAGTCAGAGCTTTGAGTTCAGCTTGTGAAAAATTAAAGCAAAATAAAAGTGCTGTATTTATATTTTTGTTTAGTATACGTCTCTGTCTCTGGTCAACTCAGTCATGGTTTTGATAATGCAGCAAGTGAACCAACAGGGTTGAAAAGTGAGCAAATGGACAAATATGTGAAACTGGTATTTAACACATTGTTTGTTTAAACACGTTTTTATTAAAAATTGGCATATGATATTTAAAACATGAATAACAAATATAAATGTTCTGTTTTTACTTCTTTTTTTTTATTTGCTATATGTGAGAACCTAAATATATTTGAACATTCTTTTACATCTTAAAATACTAACATTATTAATCATATTTGAATTTTGTCTTTCACTATTTCATCAATAGATGATGTAAATAATGTTCCTTAAAGGAACAGGTCATGTTTTTGAAGTGGGGTTCTATGTCAACAGTCAGTATCTTACCTGCAGTAGATATAAAATCAAACATTCCACCTTTAGAAAACCAGGGAGAAATTCTCATAAAAGAGTTGAGCTAACAGCTGGGTCTGACCACAAAGTTGTTTATATAGATTTATGTGATTATTTGCAAGAGCAAAAAGCATCAGCAGCTAGCTGTAGCACTTTAAATGTTTCAGGGTTAGGCTTGGTTCTGCTCAATCTAGCTGTTAGCACCACAAGAATCAAACTTTATTTTACAACCTGAGGTCATTCAAAAGGCTTTCAACAACAGGTAAGATGATGTTTGCAGCTTTTCCACAGAACCCCGCTTAATTATCCCTTTAGATAACACTTTCACATTTATCAATTTGTTTGAAACTGTTCTTTTTTATCATGACCACCAAACAATCCATTCATTCATTCAGATAACACATTCAAAAATAGGCGGTGTTTTTTATCTTTTTAATTTTTGTTTTTTAATGAATACACAGTTGAAGCAGATAAATTCAGAATCATCAGAACTCTCACTTGTACACAGTTTACCAAGTTTGTAATTCATTTTACTGCTCTACAATCTTCAATTAATCCAGTTAATTTTATTAAAAGGACGAACTTTATCCTCAGGTTTTTAGTTCTTCTCTCTGCTGTTGTTGTTATTACAGGATCTTACAGTTTAAATATATATATATATATATATATATATATATATATATATA